TTGAAAAATTGACAACTGTAGAATAGAAAAGAACTTGGAAGAGAAAGCTCAAGAAATCTCCCACAAAGTAAGAAAGTAAAACAAGCAGCCCAGAAGACAAATGGAGTTTAAGGAGATCCATAAACAACACCCATGTTTCCCACTTGAACTTGAAGCCAACTGAAAAATGGACGAGGGAAGCAGATAGATGGAGTAAACACATCTGTGCACTACTGGGAAGAAAAAAAACTGCTCTGGAGGATGTAGCTTCAAAGCTTCAAAGTGCATCCTGGCACTCTGCCCTTGAACTGGGCAGACTTATTCACCCTGTCACTGCAACCTCTGCAGAGAACCCCTTGCTGGAGAGTAGGAACTAATTATAACTCATCTCCACAAGCTGGCAGATGCCCAAAGAGAAGGAACCTAGGCACACAAGTCTTGTTCCTTCCTCTAAACTGCCAGTTGGACGAGTCACTTCTCCTCCCGTGGGGGAGAAATGAGTAAGGGGGTGGAGAGGCAAGAGTGTTATTCTAATGGAATTTCTTCCTCAAGAACTCAAGAAGAAACTATTTAAAATATTAAAGAGAAAATATAAGAGACATGGAGGATGGATTCAGAAGGTTCAGCAACTGAATTATTAGAATGCTATAAAGAGAGACTAAAAAAAGTGGAGGGAAAGAGAATGTCTCAGTGCTGAAGGACATAAATTTCCAGATTAAAGGGGCCACTGAAGGCTGAGCAGGATTAATTTTATTAATCCTAAAATATTATGATATTCCAAAGGAAATGGAGAGTTTCTAGAACCTTTCATGAAGGGAAAAAAAAAAATCAGTTTTGAAAGAATCAGTAAGCCATCAGACTTCCCATCCACAGTACTAGAGGCCAAAGCTTGTAGAGCAATACCTCCATAGTTTTCAGGGAAAATTATTTTCATCCCAGAATTCTATACCCAGCCAAACTATTAATCAAGTGTTAAGGCTAAAAAAGACATCTTAGATATGAGAGAATTCAGAAACTGTATCCCCTGTGCACCTTGACGAAATTCCTCAAGAAGGGGCTGCAGCAACAGAATCAAGGAGAAAAGAAAGAGAAAACGTGGCACCTGGCAGAGTGTGTCCAACCTGGGAGCACATGACGGTAGGTCTCAGCTGTGTAGCCAGTCCAGGTTAGAATGGAGCCCCCAGGAAACAAGAAGAAGTGATGGAGGAGGTAGAATGATTAAGAGAGTGGAAAACATTAAGTTGTAGTAAATGCAATTGGTTGCAAGTAAAATGAAAAAACACCAAACTTCACTCCAGGAATGTTCTTCTTTGGCACAAAGATTGTGATATTGGACCATAGATTATAAAATTCAGTCCTGGCACTGTCCATGGTTGTGCAGTTAACAGTATTACATAGATATTTATTGTTCTGAGATTTTATTTTATTTTTTAATTTTATTTTTGTTACAGATGTTTCTCCTTTTTTACCCCATTGGCACCTCCTCCCCTTCCCCCCCACCCCGTCCCTGGCTTTGTTGTCCATGTCCATTGGTTATGCATACATGCATATAAGTTCTGTGGTTTATCTCTTCCCACCCCCTACCACCCCCTCTTCTGAGGGTTGTCAGTCTGTACCCTACTTCTGTGTTTCTGGGTCTAGCCTATTCCTCAGACTGTTATATTTATTATATTCCATATATCATGTGGTATTTGTCTTTTTCTGCTTGGCTTGTTTCACTTAGGATAATACTTTCCAGGTCCCTCCATGTCGTCTCAAAGGATAAGAGATCTTTCTTTCTTACAGCTGCATACTACTCCATTGTGTATATGTACCACTACTTTTTTATCCATTTGTCTACTGATGGACACTTGGGCTGTTTCCAGATCTTAGCTATTGTAAACAGTGCTGCTATGAACATGGGGGTACATATATTCTTTCTGATTGGTGTTTCAGACTTCTTAGGGTATATTCCTAGAAGCGGGATCACTGAGTCAAATGGAAGTACAATTTATAATTTTTTGAGGTAACACCATATTGTTTTCCATAGTGGCTGTACCAGTCTGCATTCCCACCAGCAGTGCACTAGAGTCCCCTTTTCTCCACACCCTCGCCAACACTTGTTGTTTGATGATTTGTTGATGGCGGCCTGTTCTGAGATTTTAGAAACATAGTTTAGGCACATTTAGTGGGCAATTAAACTATAGTTAAAGAACAGAACTTTTTAAAGAATCCTCATCCAAGGATATGTTTTTATTGATTTTAGAGAGAGAGAGGGAGAGAGAGAAAAAAAACCACTGATGTGGGAGAGGAACACTGATTGGTTGCCTCCAGTACGTGTTCTGACTAGGGATTGAACGCACAACCTGGGTTTGTACCCTAGTGGGCAATCGGACCTGCAGCCTTCTCGTATAGAGACAATGTTCCAATCAACTGAGCCACCTGGCCAGAGCCAGAACAGAACTTTAATGCTATCATCTTTGTCCCTATGAAAGGACAGGCACTGCTGACTGAGACTGGGGAAGAAAGGGAGGAGGGACTGCAATATTCTCATAAGAGATAGCACCTGTGACTTCCGGAACACGAAAGGAGATGTAAGTGTGCTCCTTGAAGTTACAGAGACACCAGAATCATGATACAACATGTTGGGAGTTTGGGTGAGGGAAGTGAGGGCAGAGTGAAATTCTTACAGGATTACTCCTGACATTATATTGGTCCAAATTGAATCATCATATGCCCTCTGCTAGAAAAAAAAGTCAGTGGCAGGACAATGAAATTACTGATATTGATTTGGTCTGCACTGGGGTCAGAGAGAGGCCTGGCTACCTCTGAAGCATGTGGCTGCCCAATACCTGAACAGAAGTGTGGAAGGAAGAGGGAATGGCTGTCTCCACTCACAGTGGGCGACGACCAGCAGTGTGCACCACTGCCACGGGTATGTGTAAGGATTCATAAGATGTATCTTTAAGATTCAGTCTTAAATTAATATGCAAATTCTCTAATTAATCATATAAAAGTATCAAATTTGAAGTTTGCAACCTGGAACTTAGCATTACCAATGGAGAGCAGTAATATATCCTGTCATTTTTTTAAAATGTTTTTATTGATTTTAGAGAGAGAGGAAGGGAGAGGAAGAGAGACAGAAACATTGACCAGTTGCCTACCATGGACACCCCAACCAGGCATTGAACCCACAACCTGGGCATGTGTCCTGATTAGGAATTGAACTGGTGACCTTTTGGTACATGGGACAACACTCAACCAACTGAGCCACACCAGCCAGGGATATCCTGTCATTTTAAAAGCTAGGAGTATTAACTTATGAGTAAATAACTCAGCTTTAAAAGGAATAAGCTGTGAAAAAATGAGCATTTATTATCAATTCCCAAGCTCAAGAGAGATCACAACTGACAACTGGGGACTGTCCCCATCAAATACTCAAAGCATTGTGACAAAAAGAATGGCTATGGAAGTGACCAGGCTTCGCGATTTCACAGGACCATGGCTTTGGTCCTTGGCTCAGTCACAGAGCAGAGGCGGAGAAACCACTCTGCTGAGAGTTACCCTCAATCTGTATCCCTAAGACAGAAGGTACCTGGGGTAAGGAGCATAGAAAAAGGGGGCAGGGAACTCACTTGATGACACTTTCCAAGGTGATACGCTGAACAAAAATCTTAGGTAACACATTGAAAGAATTATATCTAAGAACTTAGAGGTGGTAGTTGTAAGCCTGCTTTGCCCAATCCCTGAGATTCTGGTATAATATAATTAGTGTGGGTGTGGGATGTGAGTGGGAGGACCCAGCAGCAGCCCAGGTTGAGCTCCCTGAAGCACTCATGCTCACTCCACCCCCACTACACCCACAGATACCAATATTCCAGGTTACCCCTACCCAGGCCCTCACTCAGGTTTGCTTCAACCGGTTTGCCTGTTCCACAGACTTAGTTTCTGACCAAGGCTCTAGTAGAAACAAGTGTGCAGAAATGTTCTTTATTCCTGAAAGTCAGTCCCAATTTACTCACATGCTTGGAAATGTGTCAAAATCATTCTGGAGCTGAAGGAGCCAAGGCATAACGGTGGACATATGGCTGTTAATTCACTCACATGCTTCCCTGGTTGGGCCTCGTCATCCAGGTGCTTCCCTCTTAGCTCATCATAGCGGACAGACTGAGCCCTGTCACATTTGAAATCTGTCCATCAGGAACCAGCTTTGGAGGGCAAGGGCAGAGAAGTGAGCAGGAGGAATGTCATTAGTTTGGTATGCCAGGTCACAAGGATCTGAGCATTTTTAAAGGATGTCATAATGAACTATCATGGGATTACAACCCCCCATGTACTCTCACCTCCATATCTTTACAGTTGGGTGTTTGGCATGAGGCTCACTGGGTGGCCTGGATGGCAGGCCTCTTGCCACAGACACTACCCTCGGAGGGCCATCTTGGCTCCCCCACTCTGGCCCATTTGAGTCCCATCTGTCCAGGAGTTTTCCCTCCTAAGGTGTGAAAAAACAGTGCAGTACAGTAGCATGGAATTGTTGTGAAGATTAAGGTCACTGAGATGGAGTGTAGAAAGCATTAGCACAATGCCTGGAACATGGAGAGTACCCTATAAATAATAACAATCACTATTATCGGTTTGTTAAATGGTGAGGGCTTAGCAATTACTTTGTTCACCCAATTTGCATAATAGCATACATTATTAACATAATAAAGCTATATTTATTTAGAAAATATTCTAATTCTTTGTCTTACTCTTCAAACTGGCCCTGTACGCTATGAAATTCAAATTAGTGAGGTTTTCGTTATACTGATAGCCTAATGAGGCTCACAGTCAGGCACTGCCTCCCACTTTCTGCCCACCTCCCCACACGCTGTATGGTCAGTGCAGTGAGCCTGAAGTGACTAGCAAGTGACCTCACACATCTCCCAGTCCTAAGCCCCAGGGTCCTGTGTCTTCAATCATTTCTTGGTTGTTCAGAAATTTATAGCACATGTCACGAGCTTGAGTCCACCTCTGCTGAACTTGCCCGTCTTTTCCCGAAGGCTGTGAAGCGGTTCTTGAAACAAGAATGCAAGTGTCACGGAGTGAGTGGCTCGTGTACGCTGAGGACATGCTGGCTGGCCATGGCTGACTTCAGAAAAACAGGCGATTATCTGTGGAGGAAGTACAATGGGGCCATCCAGGTCGTCATGAACCAAGATGGCACTGGTTTCACTGTGGCTAACAAGAGGTTTAAGAAGCCAACGAAAAATGACCTCGTATACTTTGAGAATTCTCCAGACTACTGTATCAGGGACCGAGATGCAGGTACGTTCAAAATACTTTGCTCACTGCACCTAACTCTTCCCGTGATCAGCACTGCCTGACGTAAATGCAGTTCTGTATTTTCAGACTGCCAGTTCTGTAAGTGCAGCCTCCTGCATTTGGATTCAAAGCTCATGTTCTTAGCATTCATATTTAAAGTCCTAAGATTCTGGAGAAATGAGAACCCAACAAGAATGTTTGTGGCAAAAAGTGAAAATAGGCAGATTACCAAAATTCTTCAGCCTGGACAAATCTCAAACTGGTGAATTAACCTACACTATGTATAGCAGCCAGCACTGTTTCTGTGATCCTGAAGCTGAGAGGAGGGTAGCTTTGCAGTGTGTATTCCCCTTTACACCTCTGTGACTACGGAAGAGGGTCCCAGGGCTTTAAAGTTTGCCCATTTTGAAATCTGCCATACTTCACACTCCTTTGCTCTTTCCAATATGCTCAGAACTCGCCAAATACGAGAAAAAGAATTCATCCCTACAGGCTTGGCTGCGCCGGTGGGCAGCGAGTGAGGGCTGTGTGAGAGGCACTTCATGAATTAAGGCCACACCTTCCCTTGCACACAGCACCTTTTCTGTCTTGAACTCACTCAGGAGCAGCTCCATCAACCTCCACACAGCTGTTCCCTTGTGTGTTTTACACTTGTGCTCTTCTCCACTTCTCACCCCTCCTCGACAGCATTGAACCCCAGGCTTTGCACAGTCTTTGCAAAGAATATGGTACAAGCCCTGGCCAGTTTGGCTCAGTGGTTAAAGCAGTGGCCCAAGGACCAGAGAGTCACGGGTTCGATTCCAGTAAAGGGCACATACCTCGATTGCAGTTCGGTCATGCAGGAGGAAACCAGTCAGTGTGTCTCTCTCACATCGATGTTTCTCTCTCTTCCTCCCTCCTTCCTTCCCTCTCTCCTCCTCAATCTGAAGATGAATGGAAAAATATCCTTGGGTGAGGATTAAAAAAAAAAAGAATATGGTACAAAATAATTATAAGTACAAGTGAATAGGAGGTGATAGGGAGCCCACAACCACCTTTGGCTCAAGCCAACTTCTCAGACTTAGTGGAAAGCAAGGGAATTTATTATCAGGAAAAACATCCTCAAATTTAAATTCTGAGTTTGTTTTTCATTTCAAAGTACAGTAATTGCAAAGAAACCAGTAAAACAGTACAGACGGTCTCCAGCTCCTAACATTAGACTAACCAAGAAGCACAATTACCAGGGAATATCACAAGAAGTCCAAAGCCACTTCTTTGTCCTGAGTGGTTGAATTTCCTTCATGGTTGATAGGCTAGCTCCTTGTAGCACTTGGGCAGGTTTATGCATGCAGACTATTAATTAATAACTACTAGGCAAAAGCTCCAGATGCTGTGCCCTGCAGCATTCCTGAAATGCTTCGGGACTTCTAAATCATCCTTCCTGTTGAGCCACAGTTTTAGCTGAATCCCCATGAAACCTGTGCTTTGAGACAGACTGTCCCAGAGGCTTGGGTCCCTCTCTGCTGCTAAGTAGCTGCTTAACCTCAGGCTCCTCAGACATGGGATAATGATATCAGCGTCATTTTAGGAACTATGTTTTGACTCCTGTGTGCCAGGTACTGGGCTGAGATCATTGCACACATGGTTTTATTTAATCTTTTGAGCCGCCCTATGACATCAATGAATTGGAACTGGTTACTGAAAAAAAAAGGAGGAGAAGGAAGAAGAGAGTGGCTTCTGGTTGATCAATGCCAACCAAGAACCTAGTTTACATCTTATGTTTTAAAGTCAGATAAGCAGCACTAGATGTCACCCTCTCAATTGTACGGGTCAGAAAAGTAAATGACTCAAGATCTCATTGATCCTGGAAGGGAAAGATGTCTGGCTCTCTGACTCCAGGGCCTGTGCTCTAGACCCTGACACTACAACTTGTCCCCACCTGTGTCCCAGGGCATGTTTATGAACAGGACTTGTGAAGCAAAAACCTCATTTCAGATGTAAAAGGACCTGCTTCCCTAGGAATTCTTTCCTTTCCCTCCCCTCCCCTCCCCTCCCCTCCCCTCCCCACCCTTCTCCTCCCCACCCCTCCCCTCCCCTCCCCTCCCCTCCATCAAGTTATGCTTGATGATCATTTAACTACCTCCTGGATAGTCAATGAAATAAAGACCTTACTTTTTCTTCCTCACAAAGGAGATTCTGAATCTAACCCCTGATGCATCTTCAGGAAACTGTTATTCTTACACACTTTACTTTTTCTGCTTCCTATATTAGAACACAATTCTGTTTCTTTCTTTCTTTTTTTTTTGATTTTGCACAGCTTATTTTTTTTCTTACTAATGAATTTTTGTTACAGATGTTTCTCCTTTTTCCCCCCTCCCCCTCCCTACCCGCCCTGTCCCCAGTTTGTTGTCCATGTCCACTGTTCATGCATACATGCATATAAGTTCTGTGGTTTATCTCTCCCTCACCACCCACTCTTCCGGGGACTGTCAGTCTGTACCCCGCTTCCGCGTCTCTGGGACTACCCCATTCCTCAAACTGTTATGTTCATTATATTCCACAAATAAGTGAGATCATATGAAACTTGTCTTTCTCTCTTTGGCTTGTATCACTTAGGATAATACTTTCAGTGTCCCTCCATGTAGTCTCAAAGGATAAGAGATCTTTCTTTCTTACAGCTGCGTAGTACTCCATTGTGTATATGTACCACGGCTTTTTTATCCATTCGTCTAATGATGGACACTAGGGCTGTTTCCAGATCTTAGCGATTGTAAATAGTGCTGCTACAAACATGGGGGTACATATATTCTTTCGAACTGGTGTTTTAGGCTTCTTAGGGTATATTCCTAGAAGTGGGATCACTGGGTCAAATGAAAGTTCAATTTTTACTTTTTTGAGGTAACACCATATTGTTTTCCATAGTGGCTGCACCAGTCTGCATTCCCACCAGCAGTGCACTAGAGTCCCCTTTTCTCCACACCCTCGCCAACACTTGTTGTTTGATGATTTGTTGATGGTGGCCATTCTGACAGGTGTGAGGTGATACCGCATTGTTGTTTTAATTTGCATCTCTCTGATGATTAGTGATGATGAGCATTTCTTCATATGTTTCTTAGCCATTTGTGTGTCCTGTTTCGAGAGGTGTCTATTTAGTTCCTGTGCCCATTTTTTAATTGGGTTCTTTGTCTTCCTTTTGTGGAGTTGTATGAGCACTCTATATGTATTGGAAATTAACCCCTTATCTGATATATCATTGGCAATTATGCTCTCCCATACAGTGGGTAGCCTTTCCGTTTTGATGATCGTATCTTTTGCTGAGCAGAAGCTTTTGAATTTGATGTAGTCCCATGTGTTCATTTTCTCCTTTGTTTCTATTGCCTTAGGTGAGGTGTCAGTAAAAATTCTGCTGCGTATGATGTCTGAAATTTTGTTGTCTACAGTCTCTTCTAGGATTTTTATGGATTCATGAGTTACATTTAAGTCTTTTATCCATTTTGAGTTTATTCTCGTGTAGGGTGTAAGTTGATGGTCTAGTTTCATTTTTCTGCAAGTAGCTGTCCAATTTTCCCAGCACCATTTATTAAAGAGGTTGTCCTTACTCCACTGTATGCTCTTGCCACCTTTGTCAAATATTAATTGAGCATATTGCCTTGGGTCCATTTCTGGGTTCTCTGTTCTGTTCCACTGGTCTATATGCCTGTTCTTGTGCCAGTACCAGGCTGTTTTGATTACAGTGGCTTTGTAGTATAACCTGAAATCTGGCATTGTGATCCCTCCAACTTTGTTCTTCCTTTTCAAGATTGCTGTGGCTATTAAAGGCCTTTTTTGGGTCCGTATGAATTTTTGAAATAATTGTTCTAATTCTGTGAAGTATGCCGTTGGTATTTTGATGGGGATTGCGTTTAATCTATAGATTGCTTTGGGTAATATGGACATTTTAATGATGTTAATTCTTCCAATCCATGAACAGGGTATGTGCTTCCACTTTTTTATATCTTCCTCTATTTCTTTTTTCAATGACCTGTAGTTTTCTGCAAATGAGTCCTTTATTTCTTTAGTTAAGTTTGTTCCTAGGTATCTTAATTTTTTTGCCGCAATGGTAAATGGGATTGTTTTCTTAGTTTATCTTTCTGTGAGTTCATCATTGGTGTATAAGAATGCCATCAATTTCTTGACATTAATTTTGTATCCTGCTACTTTGCCAAATTCATTTATTAAGTCTAGTAAACTTTTGATGGAGTCTTTGGGGTTTTCTATGTATAGTATCGGGTCATCAGCAAATAATGACAATTTCAATTCCTCCTTTCCAATTTGGATCCCTTTCATTTTTTCTTCTTGTCTGATTGCTGTGGCTAAGACTTCCAGTACTATATTGAATAGGAGTGGCGAAAGTGGGCATCCTTGCCTTGTTCCTGTTCTTAAGGGAAATGCTTTTAGTTTTTGCCCATTGAGTATGATGTTGGATGTAGGTCTTTCATATATGGCCTTTATTATGTCTAGATATGATCCCTCTATTCCCACACTGCTGAGGGTTTTTATCATAAATGGATGCTGGATTTTGTCGAAGGCTTTTTCAGCATCTACTGATATTATCATGTGGTTTTTATTCTTCATTTTATTTATGTGGTGTATCACATTTATGGATTTGCGAATATTGTACCAGCCTTGCATCCCTGGGATGAATCTCACTTGCTCATGGTGAATAATATTTTTGATGTATTGCTATATTCGATTTGCTAGTATTTTGTTCAAGATTCTGGCATGTATGTTCATCAGGGATATTGGCCTGTAGTTTTCTTTCTTTGTAGTGTCTTTCTCTGGTTTTGGAATTAGAATTATGCTGGCTTCATAAAACGAGTTTGGAAGTCTTCCTTCTTCTTGAATTTTTTGAAATAGTTTGAGGAGAATGGGTATTAGTTCTTCTTTGAATGTTCGGTAAAACTCCCCTGTGAAGCCATCCGGGCCTGGGCTTTTGTTTGCTGGGAGAGTCTTGATTACATCTTCAATTTCTTCTGTTGTTATTG